GAACGTAAGTAGTCGTAAACCCATGAAATTGGGTCGGCTGTTCAACGACGGTTATAAAATAAAATAAAATACTTGCAACGTTTTACTCACAATCCATCACATTTTCATTTATTGCCCATGTTTTAACCGTCATCGTTTAACCTTTTTTGGTTGTTCCATTTTAACACTGCGGGATTTGTGAGGTGACTGCCATTATCCTAACATTTTTGCGTTTCTACGCGCAATTGGTCTCTTACACTGTATAAAACTGTTTTTATCCTATTTACAATTTTATGTGATTTTATTCAGCTTTGAATGCAACTGTTTTGTGATACTTAACTACATTTCAATTTTATCTTGTTTTACTCACTCTTGAATGCGAACAGCTACCGAATTCCTGATATATGCTCCGTTTTCACTGCTGAAGCTGTTGCTATNTGATGGGGAAAACTTGTAGTATACATCTACCTAGGATTTTATTTTAAAACCGTTTGTTTGGCGCAGCATGTCCTTCTGTGGACTTTGCGCCATTAAACCCAACATTCAATTCAATTCCTGCCCATTTACGCAAATCTTACCATTCTGTTAAGACAGATCGCTGCTGCTTCTTTGTTTTATGAAATTAATGTATTACGAAATAACAATAAAAATGTTTTATTTTTAATTATTCTGCTCAATTGTATGCAATCTTAGTTTTAACTTATTTTTTCAAGGAATTCTTGATGCACATCATTGTGTACTGGAGTGCCGAAGAGTGAATTTTGCAAAAGATGCCGTTATGATTTTATAAATAAAAAAGATGATGAAATAATATGATTTAAAAAAATGATTTTATAAATTAAATATTATTTTACTAAAAATTTTATTGATTGTGAATAAAAATCTTAATATATAGTTTTAATATAAATGTTTATTCTATTACAATTTGAAGAAATATATAGAAAATAAACTGATATTTATTTAGGTCCTATTTCACTCGTTAATTTTTATTATATTACACGTTGTTATTCGCTTTCCTCCTCCATTTGCTATTGACTCTTAGAAAAGATTTAATGACACGTAGCATACAAAAGTCTCGCCTAAACATACATCGTATAAAGCTACTACGATGTATGAGCAAGTTCAAGAAAAATTCCGAGTTTTAGATGATAAAAATAGATATATAATTTGAGATGGTAGAAAGTTTTATAGATTAAAAATAATTTTTTTCGCTGAAAACTACACTACAGAAATTCAAAAGTACAGAAAGAGTAACGGATTGGTATTAGAGCCAATCTGTTGCTAGCATCCCGTTAGTTGGGCTCTGTTGTATTGCGTCTATGTAATGCAGATGTAAAGCTTACTCCTCTCCGAATCGGCCACACTCAAATCACCCATCATCATTTGTTGTTTGGAGAGCCTCCTCCCAAATGCGACACTTTTAGCGTTTTACTAACGCTTCATCACATTTTAACTAAGTGTCCCTGTTTAAACAAACAACGCATTACCTTTTTATAGCGCCACTTTGAATATAAAGGATTTGTTAGGTGAAAACAATCATCATAACATTTTCGCTTTTCTGCGAGCTATTGGTATTTTATATTGTATATAGCTGGTTTTATCTGATTTTATTCATTCTTATTTATTATCCACTCACCTTTCTATCTTATATGAATACTCCTTTTATTGGATTTTATTGACTTTAAAACATATTCGTCTCGTTATTGACGGTTTTATTACCTTGACGCATTTTATAAAAATAAAATTGTATTATTACATTTTAAGCTTCATTAACGTACTGTTTGGCGCAGCATATCCACTTTTGGATCTTGTGTCATTAGACTCTACATTCACTCAATCAATTATCAATTAGTTGGAGGGTGGTGCCGCTGGTAGTCGAAGTGTTTGAAATTTTCTATGGCCGAAAATGCTGCGGGGGGTTGAATTTTGCACACCATACGAAAAACAGCGGAACACCTTTAGCACCATTTGAACACGCTCGGTATTTCTTGATGGATTTGACAAATCCCACTGTACCCAATACGTCATTCCGCAAAGTGTCTCCATTTTTGATATATAAGGCTCTTCTTTCTCTTTTAGGAGGAAGAGCCTTAGTTAAAAATTTTGTCCGGGTGATTCCACGGCTGCTAAGACATCTTATTGCTGTGTCGGTATGCCAGAAGATAAGAGATACTCTCTTCGCTTTCCTAACAACCAAAGCACCAGGTTCAGACGGGCTAAATTTCATGATTTGGAGGCGCATATTCGATGACGATCCGCTCATATTAACCAAATGGATCAATAAATGTCTAACTTTAAATCACCTTCCAAATAACCTCAAATCAGCCACCGTGGTGTACTTTGCCAAACCTTTCAAAGAACCTACTCAATCAGAAGCGTACCGACCGATATGCCTACTACCAACACTAGGCAAATTACTAGAAAAAATTATTCAACAACGACTAACCCATCATTTAGAAATCAATAACAAGCTAAGTAACTACCGATTCGGCTTCCGAGAAGGCAGATCGTCAAAATCAGCACTAAAAACAGTTATAAATAAGTCGCTAACAGCCAAAAAGAATAAAAATTGTAAGAATAAAATATACAAAATGTTGATCTCGTCAGACATTAAGGGCACCTTCGACTCAATTCATCGGGACCAAATTATCAATAGATTAATCGAATTAGACTGTTCTAAACAACTAAATAATTTAATTTACAGTTATCTCTCAAATAGATCAATATAAGGCTCCTATACTATCAGAGCTGACCAATGAAGCAATATTGGAGCAATATGTTATGTTATTATTGTGCTTATGTTAGCTCTTTGGAGCAAAAATAGATGATGAGTCGGCCTGTCTAATTCAGGGGCTCTAGATCAATAGAATTCAACGTCGATCTAGTAATAAGTAAATTAAACACGTATAAGGGCTCTCCACAGGTTTCATGCTTAGGCCCACTCCTGTGGGTAATTATCGCGGTCATTTTCTTGCAGGATTTTAAACACGACAACGAAACAACAATAGCCTTTGTTGACGACAATGGGTTCATAATAACAGGTAAAGCGGGTGAAGAGCTAGAAGCTAATGCTAACGAAGCCATGACTTTCCTTAACGACTTTTGCTCCAAATATCACCTTAAATCTATCGATAAACAAATGTAGCTTTATAACTTTTAAAAACCCATTTAAGCAACACCCTCCCATAGTCCACATAAATAATGAATTATTAAATCAGTAAATTCAATTAAATACTTAGGTGTCGCCCTTGACCACCACACTAATTTTCTAGAGCATATTAAATCTCTAGGGACAAAGGCAGCAAAAATACATAATAAATCTGATTAAATTGGCTTCAAAGACCTGAGGCATCAATACAAAATAACTAAAACTCCGGTACCACAAATATGTGCCACCAAAAGGTATTTTTAAATAGCTGCGTGCTACCAAAAGACAGTTTTAAATATAACATCAAAATAACCATCTAAATTCAAAATCATTACTGTCTATTGTTTAATATGTCACGCTAATTTATTTAAAAATATTTTTCAGTTAACCAAAAGTGTTATATAAGGTTTAAATAGAGAGCCTAGAAGCTGATTTGCAATCCAGCGGCTTTTAAGGGCTCGCTCTATTTTTTCGGAAATTTCCCTCTTGGATGTAGGTGATCGCAACGATAATGCAAACTTTTATTTCTTTTTAAAAAAATTTGATTCCACAAGCTGCTGATAGATAGTCTGAGGTATGTGGTACCACGCGCTCACCAAATGGTTCTGCAATTCCCTCATATTGCGTGGGGGTAGCGTGGCAGCTCGAATTTGGTTTTCCAAGTAGGACCTGAAATGCTCTATTGGATTAAGGTTAGGTTAATTTGGGGGCCAAGACATGACTTGAAAGTCACTGGAATGTTCCTCGACGATTTGACTCTTATAACATGGTGCATTATTCTGTTGGTAAACACCATCCCCTTTTGGAAAAACTGTTACCATGAGTTTGTGAACCTGGTCTGCAATTATGTTCAAGTAGCTTGCAGACGTCAGGGATTGCTCTGTGAGGATTATGGATCCTAATGTGCCCCATGAAAACATTATTCCTGGGCGAGAAACCATGAAAACCTGGGCGAGCCCATTGTGATAGATGGGGGTGGTCATAATGTAATGACTCTTCAGTGTATATATATGTTACGGTGAATGACCGAAGTCTCGAAAATGTCGACATTCACGTAGTCGCTAGGTGTATGTCCGAAATATTTGCTAAATACCCTTATTTCTGACTTTCACCGGTGAATGCCAACAATCACATAGTCGCCTTGGTGAATGTCCGAAATATTTATTACATTCGATTTGAAGTGGATATAATTACATTTATCCAATATTTTAATGCTTACTGACGATAGATCAGAGGAAACATCAGTGTTTGGAGTATCGGGCCATACATTTCAATTAGCCCGGTATACATTTGCTCGGTATACCATACACTGATGTTTTTTTTAAGTTTAAGTGCCACTGCCCGGTATACCCTACACTGATGTTTTTTAAGGTCAAGTGTCATTGCCCGGAATATATTTGCCCGATACTGCAAACACTAATGTTTCTTCTAATCTATCGTCAGTAAGTATTAAAATACAGAATAAATATAAATATATCAAATAAATATAATAATATAAACGAATAAATTAATATAAAATTGGACATAACAAATATTTCAGACATTCAACAAAGCGACTATGTGATTGTTGACATACACCGGTGAGGGTCCGAATGTACTAGAATGGAATGAAACATTCGATCTTTCTTCAACGTATTTGGTGTTTGTCGACATTCACCGGTGAAAGTCAACAACCACCAATTTTGGTCATTCGCCGCAACATATATATTTCTAAATTGAATTTAAGATAATGCTAAGCAGGTGAGAGAGTCATTAAAGAGCTCTGAATTCGAAACTTGGTACCGGGTTCACTGTTTCACCGCAAAATTATGAATAAAAACACTCGTAAAAGAATTTTTAAAGTTAATTAATATTAAAAAAAGTACATACGCAATTTAATTTAACATAAATTTTTATTAGACACATTAATATGAATGTGTATAAATAGCATCATTAACACTAGATATATGTTGTTGTATATTATCACTAATACATTAGTATGAATTAGCCAACTTTCCAACAGTTCCTGCAATAATCATTTGTTGGAATTCTAACACAGGAGGAATTACACCTTGTTCCTTCTCGTAAAAATTTTATGTGGTTGAAAACTCATATCTTGTTGGTCACTGAAAAGAAAAGTAATATTGTTTTGAGAAAATAAGAAGAAGTTGCGTAAATCTGAAAATTAATAAATTTAGAGCTACAAAATAAAAATCAGACGAAATATTAAAAAATGTTCATTATATAGCTAACTTCTGATGTTTTTATAATGTTTGAAGCTTGATGTTTTTTGTTTCTTTTATCTTGAGTAAGCATAGAAATACAGACAATTTTTTGATACTTTTTACAACACGTTATCACAGAACTATGTATCTCAAATTTACGATACTTTATTTGAAAAAAATCCTTTTTTTTTGGCGCAGTGTGTCATTTTTTAGATTTTGTACTATTTAACCCTACATTCAATTCGATTCTGTGATACTTCATTGCTCTCCGAGAGGAAAGTTATAACCTTTAGGATTTCTATAACACTATTGACATTACGTCAAAATTTAAAACAACTAAAACTTTTTTAATTAACTGTATTTTAATAAACTGTCTATAAACATTTATTGTAATAGTCTTTCGCATGTGATTTCTTGCATAATTGTGTAGCTTATTAAATATATAGCAAATATATATTAAAATTACAATATCATTTATATTTTTTGTTTTTATCATTTACTTCATAAAACTCATAAGTGATTTTATTGTCTATATACATTTTGTTGTTTTAAAAGCTAGGTGAGAATTACTAAAACTGTATGAGGGTTTTTACAAATTAATTCAAACAATTGTTTAGAACTCGTTATTTCTATTCATATTAAGTAAGTTATTTACTTTCATGCAGGGAAATAATGCCACTAATAAAAAGGATGAGATATTCTTTTTTGCTTAATGGCGGACACTTGGGTCAATTTCCCACTGGCCTCAAAAATGCCAGAACTGCTACTCTCTTATCGATGCCCATTGGGCACCTATGGCTAAGATATGGAGGTGGAGCAGCCTCGCCACCGTCATACTACCACATACCCGCTTATGGGGCGGGTTACATTCACGCAATCACAAAGAAGAAAGGACATAGGACACACAGAGAGAGAGAAACATCCATACGCTGCGGGGGATTTGAACCGGCAACCATCGGATCTGCAGTCCTCATCATCTAGGGGTACCACTATAAAGTCAAAAATTACAAATTACATCAAATACATTTAAATGTAATATATTTTTATACAGAGCTATAAATTAATTATAAATAAAATTAGAAATATCATTTTCTTACCTGAAATAAGGATCATGAGTCGGGCCATAATTATGTGATTATAAATCAAGAATCGATGCAAAAAGCTACTCTCAAAAATGTAGCAAGTAAAACATATCAATTTAAAAATGAAAGTCTTAAATTTTTATTATCTGTGTAAGAGACTGGATTTAAAAACCACTAATAATTCAGTTATTCTTCCATATTAGCCCCTATTTTTGGACTATTCATAGTTTACCTTTTGTCTGTTTACTTAAAACATGTAATGCATTTTATGTTTTATGTAACAGACGTTATGTTTTATGTAACCGTCTCGGACTTCATTAATTTTAATGCATTCGAGATAAAAAAAATTATTCTGGATGATTCTTTATAGAGAGATGATGTAATTGAAACATTAAGTCGCGAAGTCTCAGGGGTTACAGCTTTCGCTTCCAATGAGGCGAACCGGGTTCAAATGCCAGTCGATACGAATTCCGCATCCGGCTCGCGCCGACCACAGTTCTAACATGATATATCCTCAGTGGTAGACGGATCATGGGTTAGAGTCCTCTTGGAGTCCGGCTAAGCGTTGGAGGTTCTCGTGTTCTTCCTCTCCATGTGACGCAAATGCGGGTTAGCTCCATCAAAATGTTCTCCACGAAGGCAAAATTTCTCCCAATAGTCAATCTTGGAGTTCCCTTGTCTTCTGGATTGGGTTAAAAATTAGAAGGCAACGGAGTGGAACATTAGTAGTCGTAAGCCCATAAAATTGTGTCGGCTGTTTACCGACGGCTATAAAATAAAAAATTTAAACATATGTTGTTGCATTGATATCACAGGCCTGTGCTCTCTGTGTAAGACCTGCGTAATTAGTTCGCAAAAGCATTCCTAGACGAAATTTTATCCTTTAGGTTGACTTATGTTTTTCAGTTTACGAAGGTGAATATTAATATTAGTGAAATAAAAATTGGTTCGGCTTTCCAGTGCTGGTTATAAAATAGCTAAATATAATACGAGGCGTGTTTTTTAAGTAAGTACCATTTTGAAATTAAAAGAAGACGCGCAAAGATATCTCAATACTTTTATTTTTACATGAAAGCCTGTACCTTAACCTACTTTTCTACATAATTTCTTTCAACATTGAGGCATTTGTCATAACGCTGTACCAGTTTTTGAATACCCTCCTCATAGAAGTCTGCCACCTGACTACTTAACCACTGCATCACAACTGTTTTGACTTTGTCATCGTCTTGAAGACGCTGACCGCCTAGGTGTTTTTTCAAGTGCAGGAACAGATTTTAGTCACTGGGGGCTAGATCAGGGCTGTATGGAGGATGATATAGAGTGATGAGATATTTAGCCTGATTAGCCACATGCGGACAGACATTGTCATGCAGCAAAACGATGCCCTTCCTCAACTTGCCTCGTCTTTTGTTCTGGATAGAACGGCGCAGATAGTTCAATGTCTGACAATAAGCTGCTGCATTGATTGTCTCATTACGAGGCATAAGTTCTACAAGCAATACTCCTTTTCTGTCCTAAAAAACTGTGCACATGACTTTCCGAGCAGAAATTGTTTGCTTAAACCTTACTTTTCTGTGTGAATCTGAATGCCGCCATTCCATGGACTGTTGCTTTGATTCTGGTGTGACGTAGGCCACCCATGTTTCATCGCCCGTAACAATTTGGCTTAAGAAATCATCACCGTCCTTGTGGTACCGTTCAAGGAAAGTCAATGCACTGCCTAAACGGTTAGTTTTGTACTCATCCGTCAACATTTTTGGTACTCAACGTGAGCACAATTTTCGGTAATTCAAGTGCTCGATCACATTGCTATACAAACACTACGAGAAACATTTGGAAAGTCAAAACACCAGGAGGAAATCGTGAAGCGTCTGTTTTCTCTAACCTTATTGTCCACTTCCTGCACCAAACTTTTTTATTAACTACTGAAGGACGCCCACTCCGTTGTTCATCATGCACATTTGTGCGGCCTTCTTTAATTGCTCTCACCCACTTTCTTACCATTCCATCACTCATAATGTTTTGTCCATAAACTGCACAGATCTCACGATGAATATCAATCGGTTTTAGGCCTTTAGCACTAAGAAATCTTATAACAGTCCGCAGTTCCCAGTCAGCGGGACTCACGATTATCGGAGGCATCTTAAACACTCAGTAAACAACGTAAACAAGAAGAATCAGAGTGCAATAGCGTCAGTGCGTGGGAAATAGATGTAGGTACCCAGTGCGCATGCGCAGAACGCCGACCGAAGCTCTGCGGCCGCGGTGTAGCATTATCTAATTATGTTGCAGTTGCTTCGCATTCTTTGTTGAGACTGTGTGCATTGTTTTTAATTAGTCGTGTGAATTTCTTATGATTACCGAAGTTTCTTTTGAGTCTGTTGGATGTTGGTTGAATAGTGTCTTGGTTTACGTTGAAAATGATGTATCTATGGTTGCTCGCATTATGTTCGTCACTTATGAACCAGTCATTGACTAAAGTTGCACCCTCGCGGTTACCAATGGTAAAGTCTGGGTTGCCTTGCGCATTGTTGGTATAAGAGGTAGTAAGGTTACTGTGTGTATTAAGCCTGATCAGGTCGTGTTGGATCATATGGTCGATTAGGATGTCGAAATCACTTACATTGGAAATTCAATGAATAGATTTTTGTCGTCAATTAAATTTCATCTTAAATTTTCAGTGTATCATTACTGTCAAATAGTAAAATGGAGCTGGAAACGAGTTTTTTTTTTTAATGTTATGAAAATCTTTCCTTAAAATAAGTAATGTTTTGCATTCGAAGCTCAAAACAAGGATCTATAATACCTTGTATGATCCTAACACCCTTTTGCATTTAAAAAAATAAAATTATTAGACAAACAGAATATAATGAATTTTTGAACTAGATTTAGTTTACCATTTGTCTATTTACTTAAAATAAGCAATGCATTTCATGTTTTATTTAACAGAGTGGACTCCTAATCTGACTTCATAAATTTAATGCATTCAAAATAAAAGCAAAATTAATCTGGATGATTCTTTTTAGAGAGATGATCTAATTGAAACATTGCGTCGCGAAGGCTCAGGGGATAGAGAGTTCGCTTCCAATAAGGTGAACCGGGCTTGAATCCCAGTCAATACGAATTCCGCATAGAGCTTGCACCGACAACAGTGATTACATGAAATATCCTCAGTAGTACATGGATCATGGGTTAGAGTCCCATTGCTTTCAGGCTAACCATGGGAGGTTCTCGTTTTTTCTCTCTCCATGTAACGCAAATGCGGTTTAGCTCCATTAAAATGTCCTCCACGAAGGCAAAATTTCTCCCAATACTCGATCTGGGAGTTCCCTTTTCAGCTGGTCTACCAATACAATGCTTTTTTGCTAAAATGGAAATTAAAATTATGCTGGATTATAAATTTTTAGTACACATTAAGACAATCATCTAGTGTCGCCGGGCAAATTTGGTTTTTTATAATACTTCCTTTATAATGTGTTTGTTATTAGCGACAAAAAATCTGAGGTTTTTAAAACTGAAGGGGTTTAAATCCCTCATATTGGAAATTCAATGAATAGATTTTTGTCGTCAATTAAATTTCATCTTAAATTAATTGTGTATCATTACTGTCAACTAGTAAAATGGAGCTGGAAACGAGATTTTTTTTTTAATGTTACGAAAATCTTTCCTTAAAATAAGTAATGATTTGCATTCGAAGCTCAAAACAAGGATCTATTATACCTTGTATGATCCTAACACCCTTTTGCATTTAAAAAAATAAAATTATAAGACAAACGGAATATAATGAATGAGTATTTAAAACCAAATAATTTAAAAAAAAAAAAAACCTGGGTTGGATTTGAGCCCACAACCATAAGGTCCGCAGTCATCAACAGGTTCTTGGGGTACCACTATAAATTCAAAAATTACTAATTACTTCAAATATATTTAAATGAAATATATTTTTATACAGTGCAATAAATTAATTATTAATAAGATTAGAACTACAATTTTATTATCTGAAATGAGGATCATGAGACAGGCCGTAATTATGTCATTATAAATCAAGAATCGATGCTAAAAGCCACTGTAAAAAATATAGCAAGTAAAACCTATGAACTTAAAAATAAAAGTCTTAAATTTTTATTATCTATGCAAAAGATGGGATTTAAAAACAATTGATTCAGTTATCTTTCCACATTTGCCCATATTTTTGAACTAGACTTAGTTTACCATTTGTCTGTTTACTTAAAATATGCAATGTATTTTATGTTTTATGTAACAGAGTGTGCTCCAACTCTGACGTCATTAAATTTAATGCATACGAAACATTGATTCGCGAAGGCTCAGGTTACAGAGCGTTCGCTTCCAATGAGGCGAACCGGATGCGAATCCTCGCGATACGAATTCTGCATTCGGCTCGCGCCGACCACAGTGATAACATGATATATCCTCAGTGGTAGACGGATCATGGGTAAGAGTCCCCTCGGCGCCAGGCTAACCGTGGGAGGTTCTCGTGGTCTTCCTCTCTATGTAACGCAAATGCGGGTTAGCTCCATTAAAATGTCCTACACGACAGCGAAATTTCTCCCAATACACGCTCTAGGAGTTACCTTGACTTCTAGAAAGTTTTCAAAATTAGAAGGCAACGGAGTTGACCATTAGTAGTCGTAAACCCATTAAATGGGGTTGGTTATTCAACGACGGTTATAAAATAAAAATAATTAAACATATGTTGTTGCATTGATATCACTGTCACTGTGCTTGTGCTCTGTGGGTCGGACATGCGTAATTAGTTCCTAAAAGCATTCCTACACGAATGTTTGTCCTTTAGGTTGGCTTAAGTTTGCTAGTTCTCGAAGGTGAACATTAATATTAGTGAATTTAAAATTTTGTCACCTTTCCAGTGCTGGTTATGAAATAGCTAAATATAATATATTTATCTGAATATTTTTAGAATTTTAACTCAGGTAGAAAGCTTAAGAATAAGTTTATTGTTCCTTTATAAAAAAAAGCATAAGCATTTATACTACACTTTAAACGTTCTGTAAAGTTAAAACTAAAGCTTATAGCCTTGAAACATTTTTAATCTAAAATCCCGATCAATTAATTATCGACATGGATGCAATTTTCTCAAAATATTTGAATATAATGTAATTTTTGTTTTAAAGTTATATTTTTATTAAAAGTTTTCAAAGTACTAATAAATATTTGGCACCATTAACGCGAATCTAAATATCTAAGTATTACATTACTAATAAATACCTGGTCTAACAATACAAAATTAATTGCTTAATAGGAAA